AATTTGCATTTATCGTACAAAGATGTGCTGTGAAAAAACTGACATGCCATTAACTTTTATTGCCCCTGACAATGACAAGAATGGCCTTGCTGATTAATGCTCTCTAACACAGTCAAAGGCAAGTTTATCAAAAAATTTGAGAGCACACAACCACATCCACCATTAGAGTGTACAAATAAACTTAAGCCACATAAATGATAATGTGTATGTGTAGTGCATATTTTTAGTGACTTTCAAATTAAGGGCACATCGAGGTTTAAGCGTTCTACTGGTTCCAACAAAACTTCCAATCATAAGTTCTTCAATGAGCAAATCCCCATGCAAGGCTGATGAAAAAAAGGGCATGATTTTTCAGTCAGAGCTGAAGCACTGATATTAACAAAATCTGAACGAATGAACCCAGTTCAAACAAACTTCTCAGAAAAAAGCATCACATCCAAATCTGCAATCCGGATTGGAGGTATCAAACAGTTTCAATTTGGGCCATCCTTGACCTCAAGAAAAAAAAACCATGCTTTAAGACTCACATTTAAAGCGGCATCATTCAGTTGGAGTTTCTCTAGAGCATCTCGCAACTCACCAAACCTACAAAAATGTCAGTTGTCCAAGCATGAATTCGTCATGGACCCTCAAAAAATCTTACGAGTTCTAATCCAATTATTTGAGTGAAAGATATGAACCCACTGGTCAGCATCTACAGGAAACAGGCCACAAAAGACCATAGGGGTGGCTTCTTCATAACCAGGCAAGGATTTATCTGCTCTTCTGCCAAAATGAGTAATAGTATCACCAACTCTTGCATCGGCAACAGATCTTATAGAAGCAGCAAGGTAACCCACCTGCGAAATGCAGACCAAAAAAGAACAACTGTGAAAATCTGATGACAGAAAGGGAAGTCTGAGTAGAACAAAGGTCAAAAGGACTATCAAAATTAGCATATGATAATTCACTTCATAAACAGGCTTCAAGAAAAGAATAATTGGGGATCATGCTTGTTAATCTATCAGCAAACAAACTTTTAGCCAAACAAGTATTAATCACAAGATTGTGAAATCGAAGTAGGTGAATCGTCCAATATAATAATGATGATTTCAGCTTTCAATGTATTTACCCAAATCTGGGGGGCTACAGACAGTTATATGTTTCCGTCCTCCCTGTAGCGATGAATGTTCATATTCTTTTGTGTAGGGAATTAGGTATGAAATAGCTATCTTATTAGAGAAGATAGCATATATAAATGGCAATGAGAGTTTTACCAATGCATAGTCACTTTGGAATCAATTTTCGTGCTACAGTTGTGAAACTCATAAACAAAACCATTAACAGTGGTCCTTAACTTGTCGAGTAAGGACTAGATAAGGACAAGCTATTTGGCCATACATAGATGTCAGGTTACCGAACCAACAAAGGGAAGAGGCTATCACACGATGCAAGATAACTGATAGTAAGTTGCTCAGTAGGATTCTCAAATCTATGGAGGCCAAAATTACAATAAACCTCACATTTCATCACAGATAAACAGTGGAATGCAAGACTGAATCCCCAACAGAAGGTCCAGCTAAATGGGACCAAAAGCTCAATTTTGATGAAAACTATTCTGAAATCCCAGCCAGTATGGGTAGGTGAAGTTCTAAGAGGCACCTCAAGGATATCTTAAAATACCCTGGGTCCCGAGGGGTTTAGCAACACCTCTATGCAAAAATGAATGCAGCCCGAGTTGGGATGCTGATCTTTGGTACTTCATTAACTGGACTCTTTATATAGAAAGTAGCATGCTCTGTTCGGTGTATCTCAGTATGCCAAGAAAGATTCATCATATGTAGGTGCATTCCAACCTGATGGAAGAGGATCCCTTCTATTTTCACAGCTCCGCTTAGGGCTCTTTTAGCCACTTCCACTTAGAGGACGGTGACAGGCATGCTCACCAAGGAAAGGTGGGACACAACATGCAATTTATGAACGGTTGAGAATTTACCCAATTTGGATCCGAAACCCGAATATTGGACCCTCTCTGGTTCCGAGTATGGTCCAATGGGCCGGATCAAGATCCAAAATTTCAATCTGAATAGTAATTCAGATCGGATCTGGGTACAGGTGGATCCGATCCAGTTAATAAAATATTACATATATGTTATATATTATTTCTATATTTAAAATAAATTTTTTGGATCCGATTGGGTCTGGATCCCTTGTATACTTTTCGGATCTGGATCTAGATCCGAATATTTTGGATCCAATCGGATTCGGATCCAGATCTGGATCCCATGTATACTTTTTGGATCCAAATCTGGATCCCGATGAATCCGAACCCGAACTGAACCATTCTCAGCCGTAAGTTTATAGATCCCTTTTCTAGTTCTTTTCATTTTTTATTTGCCATTTTTTCAATATCCTCTCTTCTGTTGTAAACTTACAATTGTAGCAACTTATTATAATGCAACTAAGGAACCAAGATTATGGGATAGAAATAAATTAGGCAAGTTTAGGTCATCAATCAGGCGTGATAACTGTAAGGATACAGGTAATATAATGTTTACATGGCCTAGAAGCAAACTTGATGTGCAGTCATCACAGTATTGCAATGCCTAGGACTTTTGCATAGAAGGTTGATTGTACCATTTCTTTTACCACAGGTATTGTTTCATTCACCATGACATCCTCATCAACTTTATAAGGCATTGGATGTCTTCTTCCATTCCCCTATCCAACAGATCCTGCCAGGCCAATCTTGCATCTTTATCCATTTCATTGTGAGTAATAAATTCTGGAGCTCTGATAGTATGACGGAATTGCAAGTCTCAAGTAACACTCATGTCCCTCTTTGTTGATGATTCCTGTTTGATATTTACAAGAGCATGACTCGTTTTGCTCTTGAGACTATGTGCCTTTTGTGGCTCCAAGGTTGACATTTGAAACACTGTTCACTCCCATCTTCACCCAGGATAGGATATGCAAAAAGAGATGAATGTTTTTGTCAGCTTTTGTATTCTTCTTATGAGGATATCCAGGGAAAAGTTGGAAAGAATCACCCTTGAAGGCTTTGGACTTTTGTTGGCTGGAGACCTTGCTCAAATTTCTTACTAGAATTAGCGTTTACATTATTTGGCATTCAGTTTCCAAACAAATGCTATCTACGTTGAGAACTCAGGAGTCCATAGATCACATTCTTCTGCATCCTTCCTATTCTAAATGGGTGTCACACTTTTTCTGTGATTAGTGGTAATTAGTAAAATTCCAGCCTCTTGGAGAGAATACTCTCTTGTTGGAGTGGGGGTATGTCCTCTACAGAGATTGTATCCACTGACTATCCCGTAGAGCATCTAGAAGAAGCACAATGATAGGATCTTCTCCCATCATGGAGGACATATTACCATTTAATGTGAGAGAAATTAGAGATGCTACCATTTCGTGGGCTTTTGTTGTACCCAAATTCCATGGTATGAGAACCTAAGACATGCTTAGAGATTTGGATTTGATCGCTAATCATAACATAGTCAAAGCTAGACCTCTCTTAAACTAGACACCACCACCCCCTGGGCTTATGAAACTCAATTTCGATGGTAGTTAATCCTGAGCCAGCCAGGATTGGGAGTATTTTTGGAGACCACTGAAATTGGATCATGAGGTCGTTGTTGGGACATCCAACGCCACTTTATCAAGCCCGAGGATTTTGCTTCCTCCTCAGAAGCCATGCTCATGGATGGAAATTCTCTTAATGTCATTAGATGGGCTAAGCAGGAGTTTGCCTAACCCTAGTGCATTGCTCATTAGACGGGAGAGACTTTTCATTTCATTGATCTCTTGGACTATTCTGTGCATCACATTTCCAAGGAGGTTGATGACTTTGGACATAGAGTTACCAAGGAGGAAACGAACTTACTATCCTGATGTACGAAGAAAAATGGACATAGTTATCAATTGCTTTTTGTATTTTTCCTTTTCTATCCTTCTATCCCACTTGTTCTATCCACCTGTATTTATTTTAATCTCATCCTCTCATCCTTTGTTTTCATTTTTCTTCTTCCTCCATCAATATCGAGGTCTATCTTTGTCTTGCTTGTATCTTGAATACAACTTGATGAAAGTTGAGGCTATGTGGAACCCAAGGTAATAAATTAAAAAATGACACCATCCAAGAGCAATAACCAATCTTCCACTATAATTTTTTGGTATAAAATATGTTTTTAGAAATTCACAAAAAAATATAAATGTGACTGAAGAATAATTAAATCCACCGGGAAGACTTACTTGATGATGCCTGGAGTCACCCCCACAAGGTATGATACACCCCACACCCGATTTCCTGACCGATGGCGCACCTTGTCCCTTTTGTTCTTGCTGGAATTTTAGAGATGGAAAGCTTTTACATGCAATACCTCTTTCTCTTGGGTTTTAGAGACCATGGAAACTTAAGTAATGTTTGTAGGAACCTTTATGCTTAAATTAGGGCTGGGCTTGAAGGCACAAAATCCTCCTATGGCTGGCATACCCCTTTTTCTTCTCCAAACAGCAAAACTCTAATTAGGGTTTCAATGTGGCATCCTTGTCTTATCAAATTTTGGGTGGCAAGACCCTTTTTAGAAGGGAGGAGAGAGAGAAATGAGTTTCAATGATGAGAGAGAGATTTGGTGCACGGAGGAGAGAAATGTTTTTTTTTAGAGAGAGGGCCTCAATGTTGATTAAATCGAAAGAATTTGTTCTTCTATTTGGATTAGAACTCCTTTAGGTATTGCCTATCCAATGACACAACTTGACTCATAGGAACTTAGGAAATATGTGGGGTGAGAGAGAACAAATCTTAACCATCCATCCCAAAAATCAACCATCATAATTTAGGGTGGAAATTAGAAACCTCTTATAATTTGACCTAAGTCCAACTATTATTTAAATTAGAATTACAACCAATCCAAAACTTCTTAATATCTTTCTAAAATCTGTAAAGAGTAAAAATAATTAGCATTTTGATCAAACCAAATTCCTAAATAAAACAATCTTTTCATATTTAAAATATTTCCCTAAAATAGCATTAAAAAAATAATGCCACATAAATAAAGGGGGTGCGCCACCCAATAGAGATTAAGTGGTCCCTACAGTGGCCCACATCCCACCCATGGGTGGCACACATGTGGGGCAGAATCCTAGGCCCATATGTGCCCTTCCAAATTTTAGAAATTACAAAAATGTCGTTTAGAAATAATATTCAAAATTCTGAAAATTTTTGTAAAAAACACAAATATTTCAAATATCAAAAAAATATATTTAGAAGTGGACTAGTATCAATGGGTTAAAATTAATGAAAGTATGGGCACTCCACTTGATCCAATAACTATGATCCACTACTCTTTTTTCATCCAACCCAACAAAGATCTATGACCTCCAGTTTCAATGCAAGGGCTCATAATTTGCTCGTCAAAGTTGGTCAATAAAAATGGAACCATGATCTTGAAATGTGGATTTCAGTCCTCCTCTTAATGAACAAGTCTAGCATTCTCAATGTACATGTACACGTGTGCCTCTATAGAGCTGCTTCCCAATAATGCAACTGTCATGCATACATGTCGTGTGGAAGTTTTTTGTTGGCCCTTGCTCTTACAAACCTACAACTGCACACAAGAGACCACACAGTTCTCCTAGCTTATAAACATCATCCCTGGGCATCTCTCCAACCTAAACAAGGATAACCCACTGTAAACCTTTATCGGTAGTGCCACATGCTAAGGAGTAAGGTTTTGAACATAACCAAGACTATAAACCGCCCAACACATGGTCCATCAACATACAAACTCCCATTGAAGGGCATATTTTACTACAAAGTATCATTTTTATAAACTCTATAGGCCTTTAAAACGCTTGATGTATCCTCATTCTCTGCTTCAACAGTCAACTCTTGAAAGAGAGGGGGGGGAATATCTTGATGACCCCTAAAATTTCTACACATTTCACTAGAAACCCTGGCCTTCTTTCTCTATCATGTGGCATTGAAATTATGACCATTGTTTCACTTCAGCCCCTTCCCACATCCCTCATACCCCTTTCAAATTTTCTCTTCATTAAATGTCCTACATTCATCATCAATTCCACTGCAATCCCTTCTCTCAACCCTCTTCATTTCTCACCCAAAACACCGATTGAACCTAAGCCTCCACTACACCCCAGCACTCTCTCTCTCTCTCCCCCTAGCATACTCTCTCTCCTCTCTCTCTCTCTCCTCTCACTACTACTCTCTCTCTCTCTCTCTCTCTCTCTTCCTACTCTCTCTCTCTCTCTCTCCTCCTACTCTCTCTCTCTCTCTCTCTCTCTCTCTCTCTCTCTCTCTCTCTCTCTCTCTCTCTCTCTCTCTTCATTCCCTGTATCCTCTTCCCCACTTCAAGCTCCCTCTCGATCTCTCTCCATCTTTAACCAATACAATAAAAAACCCATCGGACCTCTCAAAGAGCTAATTGATATCTCTCTCTAACCAACCCAATAAAAAACCTATTGGACTTCTTAAAGAGAAATTAATTTCTCTCTCTCTCTCACACACACACACACACCCTACCCCAATAAAAAATCCAACAGACTTACCTCAAAGTGCAAATAGAGAGAAATGTGTCATATCTATTTACCAGAGAGATGGATACTTAAAAATAAATTATCTATTAATTTCCAACACTTTATGGAGAAATAAACCACAATAAAAAAAAAATTTCATGGACATCTGAAATCACAAAAAAAGAGAGCAAATTTTGTAGCTGACTTTAACCTTGTTCAAGCATGAATAGTACAAATTCATCTCATGTTGTAATTTAGATCACCTCTAAAACAGGGAATATCCAGTGATTCAAAAGCAGACCGCCTAGGCGGTCCATAAGGCCTGGGCGCATCGCATAGGCCTAGGCGGCCAATCAGGGTGGCAGTCCCTAGGCGGGCGCCCAGCGCCCAACCCAGGGCTTACGCCTCCCCTAGGAGGTACAGAACCCACATAGGCGGCCGCTCAGCCCAGAGGCGGAAATTGTTTTTTTCAAAGTTGACAAAAATTGATCAAAACATCACCCATTGATATTATATTTAATTTTTGATGTTTTATAAATCTATTGAGGTTTTTTAGAAGATTTTGAGTCGTTAGAAGCATCTTGATTGGGCATACTTTTTGGATTCGACTGGGCCGCCCAGGTTTTGGGTGCCCGCCTAGGCGCTGGGCGGCCTGGATCCCCCAAGCTGCCTAGGACCCACCTAGCGCTTTTTGGAACTATGGGAATATCTTTAAAAGAAAAACAGAAAAACCTTAATAATCATATAAAATAATGGGAAAACCACTTCATGGAATGATTTCCTAGATACAAAATATGTAAGTTGGGGCACTCATGTGACGTCCCTTGTCTCTTGCAATATTGCTCCTCAGCGTACCAACCTTCAAATACAGAATCAAGTTTGCAATACCCATGGTGGAGAGGAGAGAAAGCAAAAGAAATGTGTTTCCTGAGGTGATTGACGACGGTTTCAGATTTGAGCAATAGAGGAAGAGAGGAAGGTAATGGGGGGGGGAGAGAGAAAGAGAGATGAACTTTGGGTGAGAAATGAAGGGGGATGAGAGAGAAGGATTACAGTAGAATTTGATGATTAATACGGGGCATTTAATGAGGAGAAATTTTGAAAAGGGTTTTTTAGAAGTGTGGAGGGGGTGAAGTGAAAGAATCCTTCGGATTTCAATGCCGCTTGATAGAAAGGAATGGTATGGGTTTATGGTGAAATAGATGAGAATTTTAGGGGTTATTAATATATTTTCTCAAAAAAACGACTATAAGCCTTTCTAGCAATCAACGTTTCCCCCAATTATTGTTGTTTCTTTTTCTATTGAGTAGCAGATTGAGGAAAACTATTCAAGGACCACTCAACAGGTAAGTAGATCATCGAATGTCATAAGGTTAATAAAACTTCTAGAATACAACTTCATGTACCCATTCTCTACTTCAGCAGTTACCTTTAGAGGAGAAATACACTATTCTAGCATTAAACGTCTTCCCTAACTATTCTTACTTATTTTTCTATTAAGTAGTAGGTTGACGAAAAGTATTTAAAGATAATACAAAGTCCAAAGGCCATTTCCAATCTTTTTGAATTACACAAGTAGCTATTTTTCAAGGTTTCCAATACATTGAACTATGAACTTATAGTGCCATCATTTGATTCATCCTAGTTCGCAAAGGCTTTAAACATTTTTTTTATCTTTTAGGTACTAACAGTTTTTCCTCTAATACTAGATGCATTTCTAGTTTTGCTTCTTTATAAGATGAAAAAGCAATCAATGAATATGATACTTGATCAAAAAAAATAAAATAAATAAAAATGATGCTTCTATTTAGGTGATTCTGTCTAATGTTTTGGCCATTACCTATTCATTCCAAAGCCAGTTCTAGTTTATGTTTTTTTTTCATCATCTTAATATCATATGAGGTTCAAACATCAAGGAAAAAAACTGGATGCTATTTTCTTTTCTTTTTCTTTATCATCTTCTTTCTCTTTCTTCCTAAGTGGTGTTTTAAGTTTTTATAACATATCATAGACTTGATTTTCCTTACCATGATTCACTTACATAGTGTGCTATGGTCACAATATGTATACGTAGAAATCTATGGACATTATATACCTAGAAATCTGTGGACCAATGTCACACATCTTAAAACCAAGTTTTTTTTTTTTTTAAAGGAATGTTTACTTCATCTTAAAACAGTGTTAACTATGTCTCTGCCAACAAGAGGTTTCCTTCTTGTGGTAACACACGCAAACATGTATTTCCCATGGGGAAAGTAAACAAGACGATAGATAGTCAACAACCAATTATTCCATGTTTGTTGGTGGTAATCTATGACATGGAAAAACAAGATGCATATTTTGTGGTAGTTCATCTCCAAATGTTATAAAGGGACAAGATCCATAAAATGCAAGCACGACAAGAAGGGTCTTCGTGACCAGCAAATTGAAATAAATCTCACAATGGTAACCTAAAATACTGCTGCTTTGATATATTAGAGAGTACACTGATGAAGATAAGATCCCCATATTCATTCAATATAAAAGAGCCAATTGTGAAGCACCCTGTAAAAAGTCCTAGAAAAAGATAATTTGGATGAATATCAAGAATATCCTCCAAGACGGCTAAGAAATACCAAAAAAGTGCACCTTCGATATCTTGCGTCGATAATCCCGGAAAGTTGAGAGATTGAGGAACATGTCATACATAGAATTAGAGCTGGGTGGACGAAGTGGAGAGGTGTAACAGGAGTATTATGTGATTGTCGCATACCAATGAAGCTAAAGGGCAAGTTCTTTAAGACAATTGTGAGACCAGCTTTACTTTATGGGGCAGAAAGTTGAGCGGTCAAGAAACAACATACCCAAACAATGTGTAGCTGAGATGAGGATGTTAAGATGGATGAGTGGCAAGACAAGAAGGGCGAGTATTCGAAATGAATACATTCAAGAGAATTTAGGTGTGACACCAATAGGTGATAAGATGAGAGAAAGTAGACTTAAGTGGGTTGGCCATGCGTGACGCAGACCCAGTATAGTACCTGTTAAGAGGTGCGAGTTAGTTCAAGTGAAAGACTTAAAACAAATAAGGGGTACGCTCAAAAGCACATGGTTGGCAGTAGTAAAAAAAGATATGAGAACTTATGGTCTCATTGAAGGTATGGCCCTTAATAGAGCAGAATGGTAAACCAGAATTCATGTAGCCTACCCCAATTAGTTAGGAAAAGTTCTAACAATGATGATGACGATCAATAATATCCTCTGAAATCTATGCTTCTACATGAAGATAACCAAAGACGGCCCACAATGAAAACTCATTTTATTTGTTAATAACATGATATTGACCAGACCGTGCACCATGTGGAGAGAGCATCATGTGCACCATACCAATGCACATGGATCGCTATATATTCAACATAATATAAGGGACCCCAAAGGACTGTAAGATTAATAAAAAATTTTAAGCATATGATAGTTATTATCATCCAATCAATTTGATAGATTTAGTATGGGGCACATCAATCAAACAATTAAAACATTGGTGCTAAATAGAAAATGAACAACTACAGAAAAAATAAAAATAATAAATTACTGATTACCTCACCAGCATATAATTTATCCACTTGCATTTGACCCGGTGATAGAACACCAATTTCATCAGCATAATACTCCTGCAGCATTCATTGACTGAAGGGCTTTCAAAAAGCAAAAGCAAGAATATGATTGAAACCAACGCAAATCATGTAAGTAGAGAAGAATAGCGATACTAAGCATTTCTCTAATTCAAGAGACCATTAGCACCAGTAAAATATGGATATCAATGCTTCAAGATTCAACAATAATAACCATTTAAAGTGCATCGCACAAAAAAATGATAATGCATCTACAAAGACAACAATTTGATTTTATTTTTGCAGATATTAATTGAGTGAAAAAGCACAATAAAGCTTTAAAAGGTAAGAGGTTAAAGCCAATGTGGAAAGAAAAAGAACACGCGACAATGAGTGTATAGAATCAGGGAGAGCATCATGGAGGACCTAGGGTGGTCAACTTGATTGTTGAATGTCAAGCCTCCAACAGTAACAGGTCCAATCTTTGAGGAAAGAAACCTGTGATTGAAAGTACAACTCAACATCCCCAAGGATCAAATACTAGGTTTTGGTTTGTCTTCGTAGACGGGCTCACTGATGCCTCTAGACATAAGGTGCTCAGTTTTTAGATCCCTATGACGGTAGTGTATATTCAATCATGTGAACCAATATCATTTTGTTGTGTTAACAATCAAATTAGTTCCAATGTAACTAAAGGGAATATCAAAACATGAGTGGGATGTTAGTTCAATGATATCTTTTGTCCTTCACATTAGTTAAAAAATTGGTTCAGGCTAGAGACTTTGCCCATGCCCGAGCCGAGAAACTGGGGCAAGTCAGATTCTCCCAGATAGAGGACGAGTCCAAAAAGGGGTAAAAATTGCAAAATAAATTTTTTGGAAAATGCTAGAAATAAAAATAGTAACAAGAAAAATAAATTATAAAAAGCATTAGAAGTCAACAAAAGATGGAAAAAAGACGAAAATTGGAAAAAAAATCATGTATAACCAGAAATAGCATATAAAACTCCAAAAGGGGCGAAACAAGAAAATAGATCATATACAAAGAAAAACTCACAAAGCATTATTAAAAAATAAAAACTATACATAAACCTATTTAGAGTACAACTTCTATACATAGATTTAATAAAAAAAAATTAAATTTAATATTGTTCTAGATCTCCAAATTTGACCTAGGAACTCGGCTCGGCAGGGTGCTAAGTCTGAGTCCACTAGACCAAGTCTGTGAACATTGGTCCTTTCGTATATTCATAATTCTATAATTAATTTTTCATCTTGCAAGCTTTTCAACACTTGCACTTAAATCTGCAGGTATACCTAGATTCATAAGTGCACATTTCGATATATAAATGGTCTCATAATATCAGACTGGTCTTTAGAATCCAAAACTTTCAATCTTGCCAAGTCTAGTCTTACAATTCATCACAAGCCTCGGTCGGGACTTGCCATGCTCTGTTAATATTTTTTTTCAAGGCATTTTGTTGAGTCTTATTTTCTCCAGAGACTTGGCCCACTCAGCCAAAGACCGGGCCTAGCACCAAGCTCAATCAGAATTTAAACGATCATTACAATCTTAAATGGCAATAGCCCTCAAAACCCATGGGACGCTTGTTACCATTTACCTACCATCCCAAACTCCGGTGCTTTCCATGATGTAATTCTCCTTCACAACTTCCCACATTAGGCCTTTCAACATGAATGCCTTACTCTCGGTCTCTTTCACAATTAAATCCCCTTGAACTAGGTTGCAATATTAGACATATTCCCTTAGGAACCCTCCATTCCTATGAATCTATCTCTATAGCTTCTTTGGTAGCCAACAGACTTAGAGACCTAACATAGGTACAAAATTGATGGGTTTTTTTAAGAAGAATTAGATAGATGTAACTCAACTAATAAGTTATAATACTAAGCTACCCTTATATAACAAAATCTCTTCACAACATTTGCCAGCACCAGATCTGGAAATCTTTTACATGGGTTGAAAATACAAAGAGGTCTTCATCCTAAAAGCTAAGAACATTTAACTACCATCAATGCAATTGCCAAACCTTTCGAGGTTAGCTCTTGGATCCCAACAGCTCTTCAATGAAACTAATGACAAAATTTCAAGCCAAAAAATGCTCAATGGAAACCTACCCCACTGCGATTGTTTTTGGAATTATGTCCTTTCTTAAATTCCAACATTTTCAATGGCTCTTAACTTCAATGGAAGTGAAAGAGTGACATGAATCAACGATCTTGGAGCATTAGGATCAAGAGTCATGAAACCCTGATTAAGTCATGAGGAGGTTTATATGCATGGGAGGTACCGAGAGAGTTGAGGGTTATCTCTTAATCAGGGTCGATTGTTATGTTTGTGCCTCATGACTGGGTGATGGGCCAAGGCAACATGATTTATGTATGAGCTTGACGACAAAAAGACCTATACGAGAAGGTTAGGGCCAATAGAGGACATTGGCCTAAATCCTTGACTCCTAAAACCTTCTCATAGCATGTGCATATACATTCGCAATGCATGGGAAGCCGCTCTTCCAAGGATCCACTAGTTAGAGCCATTCACATGTGCCAAGAGAGGAACTCCCGCACCATGTGTGTGTGTGTCCTCTTGGGGGTACACCTGAAATCCACTTATACTTGGGCATTCAGAGTTGCACATCGGTTTGACTTTGATAGGCTTAGATCATGAACTCGTGATTATACACTATAGGTCATGAGTCTGTTGGATCATACTGAGAATGTGGCTTTGGATACCGGGTCTACCCGAGTGGCTAGTGCTCCATTTTGTAATTCAACTCCAAGGATAGTAATTTCCTTGTAAATATTTTTAATCAATGTCAAAATGATTTATTTTGATGAAAAATCATTAAAATGATTTTTATTAATTTATGGAATTTTTCTGAAACTTTCTAGGAAAGAAAATCCATTTTTCAAAATTGTTTGAAAGAAATGACAAACAAGGACAGTCCCCTGGGACCCACACAGGACACCCAAATGGCCAATGGGTGCCCACATGTTGGCTTGGGGGGTTGACATCCACCCCACATGCAAATGACATTGGGGTGAAGTCAACCCCACTAGGGCCCCCACATGTCCTTTCATAGTTTGCTGTTTTAACTTAAAGGTGTTGAATTATGACATTTTATGAAATATTGAGTTTTTGGAAAATTTATTTTGACATATGTTTAATGCCTAAAGCAAGGGGTTTATGCACAAGTGTGGAGGATTCTATAAGGTATATAGGGTTTGTAATTACAAGCCTAACCCGAAAGGTATACTATAAATGTGTAATTAACCACCTAGCTCATGTGTCATGAGTTCATTAGCTCTACATGCTCTTATGAAATAGAAAGAACTTTTGAGATTGGCTTTTTCCTAGAAATTTTGACAAATTACCATGAGAGTATACCCTCCATCTTGGTTTCAGCTTTATTAAGGGAAATTGGAGAGAATTAAAGGTGTTTAAATTCATACCACACATCTTGATGGCATGATGGTGGTTGGTGGGCTAGGATCATGCCTCTCTTTGTAGTCATTGGTAGATGACATTGAAGGCCAAGATTCATCCATCTAGAAGCATCTCCACATTTGAGGGTCATAAGCTTATAAACACCCCCTTGAGAATTCATTTCACACACATGAGTTCACTTTGCAAATTTGCCTCAAAACGTGGCACGTACCTCTCTCTTCTCCCATTGAGTGACACGCCCAAGCTAGTCTCCTTCCTCTCTCTCTCTCTAAATATCTTCCTTCATATTTAGATCAAAGAAGAATTCAATTGAAGGTCTTATGCTACTCCATTAATGCTGATCCAAAGGTTATTTTCAAGTCATGGATGATCTAGTCTTCAAGCCTTCAACAATTGAGTAAGATCTTTCTATATCCATTGATTTCTTAAGTTTCTCCTTGCTGTACATTCCCCATTATAGTAACATTTCTTCATCATTTGACAATTAAATTTTTTATCCTTTAATCATCATTGATCTCTTTTGATCCATATAGTTTAAGGCTTCATCCATACACATTTTGACATAGTTTTCCATGTGCTTGCTTCCTTGGATTTTGGAGCATATTTCTTTGAGTTTTTCATGATCATATCAGTTACTTAAATCTTCTTCTTGACCTATTGAATTATGTATTTCATAAAAGGAGACTATGCTTTCTTCCTTGAATTTTGGAGTATTTTTTATGATATTTCTCTGAGTTTTTCATGATCATATCAGTCACTTAGATATTATTCTTGACCTCTTAAATTGTTTATTTCATAAGAGGAGACTATAATGAAATTTTGTGAGCCGAATTGTGAACTCAATTGAACCGGCTTTGTGTTTGAAAGCCTAATTTTTTCCCACGATTTTCCACTTGTTTTGATAGTTAGATCTTTGCAAATCCTTCCAAGTTTTAAGTGTGTATTAGCAGATGCTTGGCTTCCTACTTATTAGATAATGAATTGGCCTGAGTTTGAGATATGTCATCGCATGTTAACCAATGGCACATAGCTAAGACTCAAGGCCGTAAACTGGGCACTTGAGAGCTCTGAATGGCTTTCCATAGTCTTTTTGTATTGCACACTTGAGCATTAGTATGTTGATGTAATGAAGATCATGTTGTGATGAGTTTTAAGAAGTCTATTGATGTATAATTTTGCTTTGTAAATTTGAGTGGTGTTGAATTTTTGAAAGCAAACTACACATGTGTAGTTTGATGATCTCCTTTTGTAACTTGTTTTGTTCATGTGCAAGGGACCTTAATTGAGTTGTATCCTCCCATTTGAGTGTATTTAGAAGTCTATAGCAAACTGTAGTTACAGTGACCCTGCTATAATTTGCTTTATCAAGTTGTAATTTATTGGCTTGTATTTTAGCTACTTAGTAGTCCAAGTCAAGAGAATTGGTTTCTATACACTCACAATTGTATTATCAACAAATAAAAGATGAGACCTTCAACTGATAATTTCAAGTAACATACCCTCAAACTGACGTAGGAACTCTTTCTGAAAATCATACTTAAAGGTTTTGCCATGATAGTAAAAGAAAAATCGATTGGATATCCCTTGTATCA